TCGAGGCCTTCCCGGAGAGCATGCTGGTAAGAGGGACGACTCCGGTGCGAGTGAAAAGGATGGGGCCTTTCTTAAAGAGGTTTCCTGATCGGGCAGCTGCAGTGCTGCTGACGGCGGGTTTTTTCGGAGAGGATTTTCGCATCCCGTGTACTTGGACTTTGATTTCTCCCTTAGCTCGGAATTTGCGGTCGGCCTTGCGGCATGAGGATGGGGTTTCGGCTAAGTTGCGTAAGGAAGGGGTTGGGATGCATGGGGGGTCCGTTTACTTGCGCTCCGTTTTCGGATTTGGTTGTTTCTCCCTTGGGGGTTGTGCCCCAGCAGGAGCCGAATGCGTTTGGGTTAATTCCCCACCTGTCCTTCCCTAAGGGGGGGTCGGGGAATGCTGCTATTGATTCGGAGTCGTGTTCGGTGTCTTACGCGTCTTTTGATGTGGCTGTTTTCTGGGTCCATCGGTATGGGCGCGGTGCGCTCATGGCAAAATCGGACGGTGAGTCGGCGTTTCGGCTGTTGCCAGTCCATCCGGACAGTTTTCGTTTTTTGGGTTGTCATTGGCAGGGCTAATTTTGCGTTGATAAGTGCCTTTCTATGGGGTGTTCTATATCTTGCGCTTTGTTTGAGAAGTTCAGTTCATTCGTGGAGTGGGTGGTGCGGGATGTCTCAGGGGTGTATTCGGTCTTCCAATATTTGGATGATTTTCTTTGCGTGGGTCCGCCGGATTCCGGCGTGTGTGCAGTTTTGCTGGCCATTTTGCAACACGTTGCGGTACGTTTCGGGATTCCTCTGGCGGTGGATGGAACTGTGGGCCCGGCTATGGTGATGACTTTCTTGGGCATTGTTTTGGATTCCGGCATGGTGGAGTGCCGCTTGCCTGAGGTTCAGCTGGTGGCTCTACAAGGGGAACTCCGTGGGGTGCTGGGGCAAGCGAGAAATTCAGCTGCGGGCCTTACAGTCGTTGGTGGGCAAAACTTAACTTCGCTTGTCGGATTCTGCCCATGGGTCAGGTGTTCTGCTGCCGGTTGGCGGCGGCGACGGTAGGGATTACCTCCCCTTTACATTTATTCGGTTGACTCGGGATCATCGGGAGGACTTGCATTTGTGGCACACCTTTTTGGATTCGTTTAATGGGCGGGCTCTCTGGATGTCTGGCCCTGTTAGCAATTTTGACTTGGAATGGTTCACGGACGCGTAGGCGGGCTATGGGGCTTTTTTCCAGGGTCGATGGGGTGCGGCCTCGTGGCCTGCTTCCTGGCGGGAGGCGGGTTTTTTTTTTTTTCTTCGCAACTTGGTGTTGTTGGAATTTTTTCCGGTGGTGTTGAGGTTTGGGGAGAGAATTTTTCGAAATCTAACCGTGCGTTGTGTCACTGTGACAATTTGGGGGTGGTTCAGGTCATCAATCGGGTCTCAGCTTCTTCACGGCCGGAGCTTGCTTCACCATTTAGTGTTGCGTTGTCTGCGTCTGAATGTTTTTTTCTCCATGCGCTGCGTCTCCCTGGGGTTGATAACACCGTGGCTGACGTTTTGTCTCGCTTTTGGTGGGACAAATTCCGAGAGGTGGCGTTGGCGGCGGAGCAACACGGGGTTCTTTGTCCCGACGGGCTGTGGGAGATTGCCTTGGAGTCCTTGCGGGCTGGATCCGGCGTTCGGTGAGTGAGGCGACTTGGTCTGCATACTCTAGGGTCTGGCGGGTGTGGCTGGATCTGCTACAGCGGGTTGAGATTGATCCCTGGGGGCTGGAGGTGGTTTTGGCGGTGTTGTACTTTGTGATGGAATTTTTGAGCGGGGGGGTGTCGGCTGCTGCGGTGGATCGCCGACTGGCGGGTTTGGCATTCTTCTTTAAGTTGCAAGGGTGTCTGGATTTCACTGAAGATTTTTGGGTTCGGCAGGCTCTCCGGGGTTATCGGAGCGCTCATCGCTGTAAGGATTCTCGTCGTCCGGTGTCTTTTGAGTTGTTGGGGTCTTTGTGCATTTGTGGTCTGTGTGTTCTTCGGACTTTGAGGTGTGCTTATTTCGGGCGGCTTTTGCGGTGGCCTTTTTTGGGGCGTTGCGTATTGGGGAGCTCGTTAGTCCGTCCAAATCGGTTCTTGGGGGGTTATTGGTGGATGAGGTCAGGTGCTCCGGTGCATGGGGGGAGGTGCTGGTACGTCGGTCTCAGACGAACCAATTGGGATGTGGTGGTCGGGTGCGTTTTTTCGTTCTTCCGGCTTCGCTGGTGTGCCCAGTGCGGGCGGTTCAGGAATTTTTGTCCCGTCGTCCAGTGGGGCAGGGGTGTTTTTTTCAGGCACGCTGAGCGGGAGCTGGTGCAACCTGTCAAGCTGGATTTTCTTCAGTTGCGGCGGGCTTATCCGGGGATGGTGGTGGTGTGGTCCGACATTGTCGCCCGTACCTCTTGGCGTTGGGCGCGGTCGGTGGAGAGGCTCAATAAGGCTCGGATCTAGGTTAACAGAGAGGTGGGGCGTTTCTTTAGTCCCCATGGGGGGTTGGTGGTCCGGCACTTGGAGTTGGAGGTGGATACTTGGCGGTATCTCAGGTGCGATGGGGTGCATTTTGACTGCGGTTGGGATGGATTTATGGTCCCTGGATCTGCAGGATGGCATTCAGCGGGCTGTTCGTTTGTGGCGTGGCACGCCATGGGTAAGGGCTTACCCAGCGTGCTGTGGCGGTTGTTGGTCTTTGGAGGCGGTTCTTATTTGGAAGGTAAACAACAATGGTGTGGGACCCATCCGTGGTATGGGATGCCCGGGGACATTCCCAGTTAACCAAGGTTTAACTGGAAGGTGGTGGTGCTGCACTGCGGACGGTATGGTTGTCTCCGAGCTGGTTGGTAGCGGCTGGAGGCCTAGTGTATATGGTTGTCCGCAGGTGCATTTCGGATCATTTTGGGGTGCCTTCGAAGACCAACAACAATTCTGTGGGTTTCTGTTATAAGGAATGGTTGGTGTATTGTAACTTGAGTTGTTAATAAAAGGCCATGTTGGCCATTTACTCCAAAATTGGTGTTATGTCTTTTGTTAGTATAATTGGTTAAGGGGAAGGGGGTTGGCGCGGAACGGTAATGGTGATAATAGGGAAGTGGACGAGCCTATCTCTGGTGCAATAGTCAAGAAATGCCCGTAGCGAAATAAAGAAGAAGAAATAGCGCAGGGCATACATGACTAGGCCCAGAGTGTGGGGGGAAGGAAGAGCAGAAAGGGTTAAGGTAGCTCCAGGGGGGATTTGTTATTGTTAGTGGGGGGTAGCTGATTGGTAGAGGTTGGTGTAGGTGGTGGGGTTTTGCTGCACCTTAGGGTGGGAGGTTCTGTTAGGGGGCGTCAGTTAGCTGGACGGCAAGAGTGTGAGCTTCCCTCCCGCCCTCCCTGTTTGGGTGAGTTTGGGTCCCTCCAGGTAGAAGGGGGGGATTATGTTGGTTCATGGACGGTTGTTGGTCTTTGGAGGCGGTTCTTATTTGGACGGTGAACAACAATGGTGTGGGACCCATCCGTGGTATGGAATGCCCGGGGACATTCCCAGTTAACCGAGGTTTAACTGGAAGGTGGTGGTGCTGCACTGCGGACGGTATGGTTGTCTCCGAGCTGGTTGGTTGCGGCTGGAGGCCTAGTGTATATGGTTGTCCGCAGGTGCATTTCAGATCATTTTAGGGTGCCTTCGAAGACCGACAACAATTCTGTGGGTTTCTGTTATAAGGAATGGTTGGTGGCGGTTGTTGGTCTTTGGAGGCGGTTCTTATTTGGAAGGTAAACAACAATGGTGTGGGACCCATCCGTGGTATGGGATGCCCGGGGACATTCCCAGTTAACCAAGGTTTAACTGGAAGGTGGTGGTGCTGCACTGCGGACGGTATGGTTGTCTCCGAGCTGGTTGGTAGCGGCTGGAGGCCTAGTGTATATGGTTGTCCGCAGGTGCATTTCGGATCATTTTGGGGTGCCTTCGAAGACCAACAACAATTCTGTGGGTTTCTGTTATAAGGAATGGTTGGTGTATTGTAACTTGAGTTGTTAATAAAAGGCCATGTTGGCCATTTACTCCAAAATTGGTGTTATGTCTTTTGTTAGTATAATTGGTTAAGGGGAAGGGGGTTGGCACGGAACGGTAATGGTGATAATAGGGAAGTGGACGAGCCTATCTCTGGTGCAATAGTCATGTCATATCAGTGAGACTATGCCGTGGTTGAGGTTTTAGAGAGATATCTAGAGAACTTACAAATAACACATCACCAAGACAAAAAAAAACAGTTCAAACATAGTATTACCATAGTTTGAATTTGTATTTCTATATTTAGAATTTATTTTATTAAGGCAGGATGTTTTGAAAAAAAAAACAATGGTAGAATGTTTGCAAGGGAAGAATCAGAAAAAAAAAGCCAAACCAAAAATACAGCACGTTTCCGTTTTGAATTTGTAATGTGGGGTTTACTAATATTTCATGAATATAACAATGTTTACTTTCTCTGTGTATACTATTACTTCCTGAATTTATAAAAGGCCAGCAGAGAACATAGAGCTAATTACATCAGGCCCAGCCCCAGAGGAGCTTACCACACCCCTGCTCATAGACATACACAACTCTTTTTTTTTTAATAAAAACAGACTACCATGGGGCGCAGATTCATGTATTTACAAACAACAACAATTACGATTCTTCCAAAAAAAATTCATTATTACAACACATTTGGAATAGTTTTGTTGCCCATGTCAACTATTACTTATAATAAATATAATAGCAAGCACTAGACTGGTGGCTACAAGCAATATGCTTTTTTGTATTTAAAATGTGCTCATGAACAGGTTAATTTAGACTGAATGGATTTTGGCCTGGTGAGTGATTCATAATGCACTACTACTCAACCAAACCATAATATAGAGACATTGCCACCTTGTCCATTAGATATCTGTGTAATGGGGACCACCTGTTTCATTCTATCTAACTTTTTCAGTGGTCCAGCACCACAGCCAGCACCAGAAACCCCAGTGTCTGATGGTGTCGGACTCTAAGGAGAGTGGTGGTGGCACTCCCTCTATCATGTGATGGTGCTGTGACCTAGCAATTGGTTTCCAGACTTGATGCCTGTCACATGGGAGGAGGTCACAAGCCCTACCATACTTGGAAGTACTGGGTATTTTACTGGATGAGGTAGCAGAAGGAGTGTGGGGGAGTGCTGGCAAGGTCAGGGGGCTTCCTTTATACAGGCACTGTCGCTTTTTTTCCTGACTGGAAAAAGTTGTCAGGAATGGACTTGCCAATGATGGTGGGACTCACCTGCCTTGTGTGCTACAGTACCAGGGCTGGCCAGCGGGTGCTCTCAGCAACCAGAGGCTCACTCCTGCAATCAGCCATCACCTGAGGCTGATTGCAGGTGGTGTATTTAAGGAATGGCCAGACCTGCAGTCAGTGCCTTGGTGTATGTTTCCCATGAGCCCCTGTATCTTGTTACCTGTGCCTGATCATCTGTTCTGTGAAGTACCCTTTGTTGCCGACCCTGCTTGATCCTGATCCTGCTGACTGTCTCCTGCACTGACCCCTGGCTCTTCACATGACTACTCTCTGCCTGCTCCTCCTGTACCTACCTGCCTGATAGTTACCGACCCGGCCTGCCCGACAACGCTTGTGTTCCCACACATATTGGGACTAGCTTAAGGTTTGGTTTGGTTTTGCACTGTGTGTTCTGTGTATTGTGTAACCTTAAATAAATTATATGACTTTTACACCATCCTTGAGCCTGCGTTTCCCTGTGTCAGTCCACACATCTCTGGTCATACCTGGATCCCTGACAAAAGTGATGGTGTTCCTTGAACTAGACATGTAAGATATGGTCACGTGTGCCATCTCACTGGAACTGGTCACGGGGGGAGACTGAGCATAAGGTGATCGTGGAGGGGAGTCACGGTACAGGAGGCTAAGTGATTAAACATAGCCAACAATATTATACAAGTGCAAATCCAGACAGGAGTGGGTTGCTACTACCTATTGGATGTATTAGACTTAAAGCACATAAGCTCACCATGGCCAACTAGCAGTCTCCATCTGCTTATGTATACAAGTGGTATACCATTGGTGTCATTGGTGTGCTTGTGAGATTTACAGACAGCTCTTTCATTGACCGAAGTCAGCATAGAAGATCATCCTAAAGGCTGCTATCTCTTGTTTTTCCAGTTTTGGAAGATTTCCTTTAGATATCCTATCCCAACCATCCCAGGCACCAAAGAACAGAGAAAGGATTAAATTAGCTTTCACCAAAAATTGCTCTAGAGTAAACCTAGTTGTGTCACTCTGGCAACAGTAGCAAGTGTAAATTTTAAGTACTGTACTTTTGAAATACATTACATCTGCCCTTATTCATAGCTGCCCATCCTTCAGAAACAATACTTAGACTTGTATAATATTCAATTCCAAAAATGTTAGCAACAGGTGAATACAAAAATCTTTATTGCATAAAGGAGTTAAAATATTCCATGGCAAACTGATGCTAACGCGTTTCAGTCTAAAAACAGACCTTCTTCATAATAAGCTATGAACAAGGTCTGTTTTTAGACCGAAACGCGTTAGCGTCAGTTTGCCATGGAATATTTTAACTCCTTTATGCAATAAAGTTGGGATAGGATACCTAAAAGATCACCCAAACCTGGAAAAACAAGAGGTAATGGCCTATAGGATGATCTTCTATACCAGGGGTCTCCAAGCTTTCTAAACAAAGGGCCAGTTTACCATGCTTCAGACTTTTGGGGGGCCAGACTGTAGCCGTTGCGAGTCAAAAAAATGCCCTGACGTTAGTAGAGGAAAAAACATTTACATCATCTTTGTTGTCATTAGGAGGAATTGTGCCTCATCATTGGTGATATTGGGATGAATTGTACCCCATCATTATAACCATTGTTGGTGTCATTGGAAAAAATTGTGTGCCATCCTTGGTGTCATTGGGAGGAATTGTACCCCATCACTGGTGTCAGTGGGGGTAATTATGCCCCATTATTGGTATCATTGGATGAAATATTGCCCCAAGGGCCAAATGAAAGCAAGTAGATGGCCACATCTGGCCCCTGGGCCACAGTTTGGAGACCAGGGGCGGACTGACAACTCATGGGGCCCCCGGGCAATAGGGGATCATGGGGCCCCTGTATCCTCACCCAAACCCAAAAAAGCCTATGAAAAAGCCAATGAAAGGTACCAGGGGCATCTGATGGGGCCCCCTACTGAGCCCGGGCCCTCGGGCAGTGCCCGAGTGCTCAAATGGTCAGTCCACCCCTGATACTGACCTCGGTCAATGAAAGAGCTGTCTGTAAATCTCCGAGCACACCAATGACACCAATGGACAGCTAAACGCAGATCATCAACTAATCACACTAAAGATCATGAAAATAATGAGCAGCAAATACATAAAGATCACAAAATGTGTTTCTTATACATGTTTTAGAATAATAATTCAAAATGTCTAGCTTCCCTTTGTGTTTGCCATCATTTAGGAAAATATCATCTTAGTAGTTAGTATGGGGAAACACCTATGGAAGGTTGTACTGTGAACTATGTTATTGAGATCAAATTCAGAGGAAAGGAATTTGATGAAAACATTTTCAAACATGTTAGTGTGAGTAGATGAGCAGTGGACTCAAAACACCCGTATGGCATTCCTTTATTCACCACGTGAACAGAACTAGAACTGCTAGACTTCTACACAGTAATGTACATCCCCCTCCCCTGTACTCCATTATAGTGATATGACATGTATACAGTAATGTATATCCCCCTCCCCTGTACTCCATTATAGTGATATGACATGTATACAGTAATGTACATCCCCCTCCCCTGTACTCCATTATAGTGATATGACATGTATACAGTAATGTATATCCCCCCTCCCCTGTACTCCATTATAGTGATATGACATGTATACAGTAATGTATATCCCCCCTCCTCTGTACTCCATTATAGTGATATGACATGTATACAGTATGTATATCCCCCCTCCCCTGTACTCCATTATAGTGATATGACATGTATACAGTAATGTATATCCCCCCTCCTCTGTACTCCATTATAGTGATATGACATGTATACAGTATGTATATCCCCCCTCCTCTGTACTCCATTATAGTGATATGACGTGTATACAGTAATGTATATCCCAGCTCCCCTGTACTCCATTATAGTGATATGACGTGTATACAGTAATGTATATCCCCCCTCCCCTGTACTCCATTATAGTGATATGACGTGTATACAGTAATGTATATCCCCCCTCCCCTGTACTCCATTATAGTGATATGACGTGTATACAGTAATGTATATCCCCCCTCCCCTGTACTCCATTATAGTAATATGACATGTATACAGTAATGTATATCCCCCTCCCCTGTACTCCATTATAGTGATATGACATGTATACAGTAATGTATATTCCCCTCCCCTGTACTCCATTATAGTGATATGACGTGTATACAGTAATGTATATCCCCCTCCCCTGTACCCCATTATAGTGATATGACGTGTATACAGTAATGTATATCTCCCCTCCCCTGTACTCCATTATAGTAATATGACATGTATACAGTAATGTATATCCCCCCTCCCCTGTACTCCATTATAGTGATATGACATGTATACAGTAATGTATATCCCCCCTCCCCTGTACTCCATTATAGTGATATGACATGTATACAGTAATGTATATCCCCCCTCCCCTGTACTCCATTATAGTGATATGACATGTATACAGTAATGTATATTCCCCTCCCCTGTACTTCATTATAGTGATATGACGTGTATACAGTAATGTATATCCCAGCTCCCCTGTACTCCATTATAGTAATATGACATGTATACAGTAATGTATATCCCCCCTCCCCTGTACTCCATTATAGTGATATGACATGTATACAGTAATGTATATTCCCCTCCCCTGTACTTCATTATAGTGATATGACGTGTATACAGTAATGTATATCTCCCCTCCCCTGTACTCCATTATAGTGGTATGACATGTATACAGTAATGTATATTCCCCTCCCCTGTACTCCATTATAGTGATATGACGTGTATACAGTAATGTATATCTCCCCTCCCCTGTACTCCATTATAGTAATATGACATGTATACAGTAATGTATATCCCCCCTCCCCTGTACTCCATTATAGTGATATGACATGTATACAGTAATGTATAACAAAATTATATAAGTGGTGAAGCGCTCAACTTAAATAATAGTGACAATTATCTCATTAATCAATATAAATGAAAAACTGGTACAATATCCCCATATATAAATTATACGTCCCTGGTGGTATGGTGATAAACAAATAATACCTCTTGAGCTGTGCAAATATGCAAACTCAATAAACAATATAAATGAAAAACTAGTGCAATGTCCTCATATAAATTATACGTCCCTGGTGGTATAGTGATGAACAACTAATACCTATTAAACTGTGCAAAGTGATACTTAAATTCAATTAATTAAACCAATTAAATAAGATATTAATTACAATAAAATAAATTGTGATGCCACACTGTGCAAAATCATCAAAAGTGTTCAAATGATGTCACTCCATGCTGAAATAGTGCTCTTCGTGCAGATCTTGACGTGACTCCCCTCAAAAATAGCCAAAGTGCCCCCTCACCTTCCACATTCGACCCTTGCGGGTCACAGAGCTTTATATATATATAATATATCTCTGCCAGATGTTATTCTCCTCCACTGCCTCCACCGACCCAATCAAGATCCTCCTTCAGGCAATGAGTTACACTCCAATAACTCCCCTCACAAAACGGACTCAGACACAGGGCGCATATGCAAGAAAAAGCAGACCTCCATAGTGCAACACTGTTTTAATGCACTCAGCGATAAATGAAAAAATGCACTCACATATCCTCCAACAGAGAGAAGCAGTTCCCCATGTGCTATGGGTATATTCAGGTGTACAAAGATGGCGTCCGAACCCGGAACCAGAAGTACGTCACCCCTATGACCGGAAATACGTCGACGCGTTGCGCCACGATCACGTGGCTTCTTCAGGATACCGCATTGGATGGCCGCACTTCCTTTTAACTACTCAGGATAATCTACAAGGGGCGTGTATATTACCTCCATTTTCATGGAGCCCACTATGCATAGGACGGCCGCGATCCGCCGCTACTTCCCCTGGTTTCCCATTATGCCTTCTCTACTGTTCCTAAAATAATACAAATAACCCCCCAAAAGAACTTTTATTAAACCCCATGATTAATATTATTAAAATAGGTATATACTCTATACCCATATATAATTATATGACAAAGGAAAATTATAAATATATACAAACCTAATCAGGGGATAAATCAATGTATGTGTAAAAACACATATCCACTACTAATGATTCCCCTCCCCCCTAAACATATTTTTAAAACTACCCCATTACAAAAAATTAATTTAATATATTATAATTATTTTAAACATATTACTTTGAAGAAATATTAATTAAATTAATTAACACCTAATTCTACATAATTTGATAATATCCAATAAAAACATAATCTGATAAAAACTCCTGTATAATACCCATACCACATGTTCACATAGATAGAATCATATATTTCTAAAACCACCCGCAGCAAACATGGATGTTTTTGGGTTTCTAGAAAATAGAACCATTGATCTGGAAGATGTATTTAATAAAGATGGAATTAGTAAAAATGGTGATTTGGATACTCTCCTTAGAAAATTGGGCCACCTAATGGAGAAAAAGGTTACTACATGGTGGGATATGGCCACTCATGAAAAATACCTAAAAGATAGATTAGTCCCCAGGAGATTAAGATGGGATGTTCCCATCAGTGATGGGCTCACAGATACAGATTCTGTGGAAGAATGGTTCTGTTTAATGAAAAAGGTTTAGAACTAGTGCAATTTTTGCTTAAGAGAAAACAGAAAAAAATGAGGATTTGGAGATGCAAATAGAGGACATTAGGAAACAAATTGAACCATTTAAGGACACACCGCAAATGGTCAATTTGACAAAAAGATTAAGTAAAGACCTGGAAAAAGTTGATACGGAGGTGAAATTTAGAAAAATGAAGAAATACCACAGGGATACTAATGATTTCTCAAAAAATTTAGTATTTAAATGGCAATCCTCAGCCCCTAATCCAGATATAGGATCTACTAATTCCACACCAGTTAAATCTGTAGTGGTTGATAAAGCTCCTACTCCACATGTGTCATAAGGAACCAGTGAGTGGCACTTATAATGAAAGCCAGCAATATAATACACAGTCTTATCCTACTCCCAATAACGGGTGGAGACCTGTGAAGAGAGGAGGATCATATAATGGACAAGCAGGGAGAGGTAAAAGAGGGAGACCCTATTACCAACCGTATAGATCGAATCAATCTAGGTCAGACTACCAACAACCGAGGAATTATTATCCACAACAAGGGATGAATTATCAACCATATTATGAGAGAAGTCCTAGGAATGGAGATTGGTATCCACCTAGGTATGATAATCAGGGTCCTGTCCCAACTCAAAATAGTTTGAACCTTTAAATCATTATCCTAGTAGAGATTTTTTAGAGAGGGGCAAAGGGGAGAAGAGTCCAATACCAGGGAAACAGAAAAGCCCAGGAAGAGAAGGGGCTGCAGAGGAAGCAAAAAACAAAAGGAAAAGAGACCAGTAGGGGAAGGGATCTTTAACATTAGTGGGACATCCCTTTCAAGAGAAGAGATTATGGTCCTTGACAAAGGTTTAAAATTTGCGCCCCCTAAGAATATGGATAAGTTTAGTACGTATATAGATACGCAAAAATACATCAGGAAATTGAACTTGAAGAAATATTTTTTAGGGCTCACAAGAGCCAAGGATAATACTTTTAAGAATTTTAATGATAAATTTACCCATACCGCATTGAAAAATAAATCTGTTTTTAATCCCCAGATTAATAGTAATAACCAAGTGGAAGTTTTTTAAAAAAATGGTCAATAAAGATTTAGAGAATTTACAAATTCCGAATAAGAAGGTTAACCATGGATTTCAAATAGGTGTGAATAAATTAATGAAAAGGAATGACATAGTAGTAAGGCCGGCAGATAAGGGAGGGGGAATCGTTGTACTTTCCAAGGATTATTATTGCAGTGAATTGCAGGCACAGTTGGATGATGTGGATACATATCAGAAATTACAAAAAGACCCCACAAGGATATACAGAAAGGAATTGGAACAGTTAATTAAAATAGGTGAAAAGAAAAAAATACTAAATAGTAAAGAGGGCAGATATTTGG